TTTTTTTTCAATTCGATTTTTTCTGTGATTTCCTGCACCTATCTTTAGCAACTATTTAGGTGAGTTGTTGGCATTTGGCAGAGAAATTTACATAGTTGACTGGAATAAAAAATTAAGATAGTTTATTGCGCGGGAACAAGTAAACTTGGGAATCAAATGACTAGCAAAATAATATTGCACAAATACACTTTCTTATTGTTTGGCACAGCAGATGGGATGAATACCAGATGAAACGAGCATTCACATTGAAAACATGGAAAAACCACTGTTGACGATGGCACAAGAAAAAATTACTTCTTATTAACCAATCATCGTAGGATTGAGCCGGTTTTGCACAAGTCGATCCATGATCTTATCCTTTCCAACTAGGAACAGATTCACATTTGGCACCACATGACCATATTGCATATGTCGATCTGCCATGAAGTTCAAGTACTTGAATGTATACGGGGCTCGTTCATTAGGATCGGATAGGGTTAACGGGAACTCCATGGCACTGTTCAGAATACCATTTCCGTTACCTTAAAATTAATTTTAGGAGATTTTATAGCAAAAATAAAACTGAAGTAGAAATCGTTGCAATAATTGATTATCAAGCAAGATTTCAAAAAGTTAGGTGGTAGCTTATTGAGGCTAGCAAAAGTTGAAAATCTAAAAGCTTCCTGGACAACTGTTACAAACTGCAAAATTCAAAGATAGGACGGCTGGCGGGTTTCTAACTCAGAGAATACATTGCAGTGGAGCGATTTCCATGCTGCAGGTACCTTTTCCTGCTTTGCTTTTGAGAACAGTACAAATATCGTGGCAAATTGCTCTAACATCACGACTCATAGGCGTGCAAGCGTCAGCGGCGCGACTGTGGTCACTTTCAGCAGGTAGGAATGATTTAGACTACGAAGAGATATGTTTGGAAGCAAAACAATACAAAGTCATACAAATCAAGGTCAATAGATCAAATGAAACCAAAAAAAGGAAGCAGTAGAAAATTTAGAGTTTTCGGAGATAAAAAGGTTTCAAAGGACTGTCACAAATAGCAAGTT